TCAGGATCAGGGCCGTCTTTCTGTTCATGGACTGGATGCATTCTTCATACTCACTCATGGTTAAAGTGCATCGAGACAGAATCTGGTCTAAAGTCAGTGATGCAGCTTCTGGTTCATTGAGCAGACTCACCAAAGTTCTGAGTTTCTGTTTAGCAGTAGCTTGGTCATGTTCCTCATTGTTTCTGCTGATCATTGTTCTCCTGCAGGGTGGTTTAGGGAACCCAAATCTACAGCCAGAGTTCACGGTCTTAAAACAGGTCCTGGTGTGGTTCCTGCTGTGTTTCTGAACTTCTGTGACTTTCTTGTGGAGTTCTGGTTGTGTTTCTGGGTCAGGCAGCTGTGCTGAGATGTATCTGTCTACAAAATCACAGACGGCTTGATCAGAATCTTTGTCACATTCAGGAGCATCACGAACCCAGAGCATCATGTGTATATGAGGACTTCCTCTGTGCTGGAACTCAACTCTGTAGAAGAAGTCGACAATCTCACCAAGCGGCTGAGCAGGGGACATGAGCAGGTCTCTGAACAGAGCTTCCACACGTTTGTCAAACATCCTCATGGTTGTAACTGGATTAGATCTCAAGATTTCACATTTTGAGGACCAGTCAAGATTTTCAAAATCAACCTGTTCACCTTGCTGCTTCTTTATAGCTGTGATGATTTCCCTCCACCTCATCTCAGCAGCACTGAAGGTGCAAAAGAACGTTGGAGTTCCCAGCTGTCTGATCATGGCAAACAGATCTTTAGTGGTTTTCTGCCAGTATGCTGGTGTTCCTCTCAGAGTTTGCATAAATCTGACTGCATCTTTATTTCTCACCAGTCTCTGAACCTCATGTTTATTCTGTAACATAGAAGAAGTTATTCTCCGCCCATCTCTGCTCATAGTTTTACCTTTCCTCAGCTGTATGATCATGTTGGAGTTAGCCAAGTGGATCTCAGTCACAAACTGTGCAAAAAACAAGTAGTTGGGGTCTCTCGCAAATCTGTCATCAATGTGAAACAATCTGGACTTGAAATAAGAGCTGGGTGTGACTTTAATACGCCTCGGTTCATCCAGAGTGTTCTGACCAGTAGGGAACTGAACAGGAAAAGCCATGGCCTCCAGTTTGGGTGTCCTGAAGAAGCTGACTGGACTGTTTCTTTCTGCGGGTGCAACACAATACGTGCTGTCACTGTAACACAGGATCTCCTCTGCAATGTCTAGAGGCTGAAGGCACGATTCTAGAGCAAAACCTCCATTAGGTAGATCTGAGTCTTGTCCTTCATCATTCTGTTGGGATTCTGCTTCATTCTGTACGTTCTGCTCATCGTCATCAGAAGTCATGACCTGTTCAGATTCCTCATCACCTGCTGCTTCAGTCACTGCATTTTGCTCAAAGTTATCAATCTGCATTAGGTCATCTTCATCATAATCACCACAGTCCATGCTGCTATCATCATCATCACTGCTGTCACCTGTTGGATCACATAGCAGAGGATCGTCTCTGATGGTTATGTCTGCATACTGTGGGTGAATCTGTTTTAATGTGAGCAGAGCGTGCATGAGTTTAGACCAGGTTACAGTCTGGAATAGCTGATGGCCTTTATAACACAGCTTCCTCTTTAATTTGACCCTCATCACTTGAGATTCACTTCTCAGTCGGGGTAAAGCATCCACTGTTTCTTGGACTTCTGATGGAACACACACCAAATTACCTCTTATCTGTCTCTGACGGCCTTTTGGGAGTGGAACAATTTTAGCAAAAGGAATAGATTTAGAAATCAGATGTCGTTCCAAGATGTTCAGATCTTTTAACTCCTGTGGAATCTCTGACAGACCCATTTGGTTTGCAACAGACAGGCGTGGGATGGAGCCCTTTCTAATGTAGTCATGACACGTGTGGCAGATCCATTCATGCTTCCTCTCCAAAGGAACAGAACATGGTTCATTACAACTTTCACCGCAGATGTGTAGAAACTTTCCAGTCAGACATTGTGCAACTACAGATGGATACTTTGTATAATTTGACCTGTTGCAGACTTTCACCTGGTTACGGAACGAAGCTTTCTCACACGACGTGCACACATAAGTAGGTCCAGATTTAATATTTGATCTGAAAACAGCCATAGCTTCATTCATCTGTGGGTTCTCTGGCTCACAAACAGATAATGGTTGGTTGGTCACTCTACTTTGTGTTTCACCTCCTGACCTCTGCATATGTAAATTTATCCGTCTGTATTTTCTTTTTATTTTCGAAGAACGTCTAGAATTATGACTCCTTCTAAAGAGATCATTGTTATTGTAATAGTCTCTCATCAGCTGTTTCATCAGTTCTCTGTGTCTGAGCCGGAATGATAGATCAGATGCATAACGCTCTTTAATGAATGATTTCTTTTTCTGTCGAACTTGTTCACTTTCCCTGTAAAGACTTTGCATGTAAGATTTCTTTTTCTGTCTAACTTGCTCACTTTCCCTGTAAAGACTTTGCATGTAAGATTTCTTTTTCTGTCGAACTTGTTCACTTTCTCTGTAAAGGCTTTGCATGTAAGATTTCTTGTTCTGTCTAACCTGTTCACATCGTCTGTAAAGGCTCCTCATGTATGATTTTTGCTTTTCTCTGTAGTCAGCCATTTCTCTGTAAAGCTTCCTGATATTGTGTTGTTGTTTCTCTCGATAACTGGTGTTTTTCTTATACAGATTCTTATTGTAGAGACTTTTTTCATGTCTGACATCTGAACTGTTAGCATGTGTCCTGGAATACATTTTCTTTTTAGAATAAAACCTTTCGTCAGTAGCATACAACTGCCTTTCTCTCTTTTTCTGATTTTCCTTTCTCTGTGATGGCTTCTTTGACACAGATAATCGCCGCAAGATTTTTAATTGTTCTTGTTTATTACGTTTTGATAACATTCTCTGAGTTAATGAATCAGCAGTTTGATCTACAGTAGCACTTGCTTCACAAGCAGCTTCTGGCTCAGATGATGTCATCAGGGTGTCAGAGCAAACAGAGGGACCAGCGTGGTTCATCACTTCACCTGCCAGGTCTGACTCATCTGGAGTAGACTCTTGGGTGTTTGATGTAACTTGTTGATTACCAGTTTGCTTAGTTGTTGCCACTAGTTCGATCTCTGTCAGCGAGTTGGTCTCAGCAGCAGTTGAGTCTCTGTCTGGAGCAGCGTTCTCACTCTTAAACTCCACTGACTGGATTTCATAATAGCAAGACCCAGATACACCAATAGATGTGTATAAATGAGTGATTCTGTTAATCATGTCTGTTAAACGTGTGAACTTTAACATGACAGCTGTACCAGGTTTACATTTGGGAAGAAGACCACGAGCAGAACGGGGGTGAGGATCAAAGTACCCGTATTCTCCTGATCTGGTTCTGAATACAGCTATGCAGTTTCCTCCCATGAACATTAATGCATACTGAACTTCTGCAGTCAAACAGCTTAGTCCTTGAACAAGACTAGGAAGATTACCTCCTTCAAAAAAATTCCCATATCTGGTACCAGTTAATCTCATGGTGATGTGATAATGAGTCATACGAGCTGTAACCTCAGCAGGTAACTCGTCTGTAGCCAGGTGTACACTAGTTGGATGAAGTAGCCTAGCTTGTGCGTACATCACATTACCTTTATCCAACACCAGGTTCAGATCTGAGCTGGTAATTGTCTCACTCTCATGTAGGAAGGATAAAAACACCAAAGAGTTAGGGGCACACTGCTTGTTTCTGTACTCACCATAAACAGCTGAAGCCTGACTCCTGGTCGCACACACACTTGTCCCTGAAGGTGGATGGACATGGGCAGGTATCTGAGATGGTCCAGCAGCATCACTCTGATTTACCTGACACGTAGCAGCCTCTGAGTTCATGACATGACTCTTGTGTCCTCTCAAAGCATCAGCATAGGAGGGTCTAGTTCCAGGAGTTTGTCGGACATCAGGACTGTGAACATTAGCCTGCTCACTAGGTTGACATGGTCCAGCTGCAGCACTGTGATGTACTTGATGTGGATCAGGTACGATGTGACTCTGAAGTCCTCTCAAAACATCAGCATATGCATCTCCAGTTGTCTGAGGAACATCAACCTGTTCACCTGAGCCAGACTCCGTGAGCTTATGCCATCTGGTCTTTGCAGACTGAGACCTCTTGTTCTTTCTGGGCATTTTTATAATCCTGAAAAACCACAAAGACTTTAATGTGAAACTTATTGTAATAACCACCTCACAACTCAAACCAGTAGTTTCTGACACCCACTATAATTACAGCCAATAAAAATGTGCTTACTTAAATAAAACAAGTTATAGTTTCCTTGTAAAGGAATAAACTTACAACTACAAACCTAAACCAATGTTAAGCCAAGACAAATTATTTACCAATAAACTCTGCTTCTGTGAACTGTAATTCTATTAAGATGTCCAACTAATAATGTACTTGTATTAAACACGGAAATAGATTCAAATGAAATACTTTGTCAAATAAAAAAATGAAATTACTGTGTAACTCGGGCACAGCAAAGGAAGCAAAAAAAAAAAACCTTTGCAAATAGTTTTCTTTGTAAAATACTTTAGCACCAGTAGAATTAAAAAATAATTCCTAATAACTAACAAATACAACTGATATCTCTATAAACAAATATATATGAAACGTATGTAGAAACTGGAACAGATAACTTTGAACTGTATATAAATGTAAAAACTGTTTATGAATATTAAAGAAACAGCTAGCAATATGTACTAGATGTTTATATATATGTAAGCAATGCTATTAGGCCTTTTTTTCTCCCAAAAATCCAAATATTAAACAAAGAGAAGAAATACTTTATTTATATGTATTTATTTTCTAATTTTTCAGTTACAAATATCTACTTAACACAAACCTGAGTACAAACCTGCAGTCAGTCCAGAGTCAGCACCAGCGGGTCACTAGCTAGTAACAGTGCTTTTACAGTAAATGTGTGTTTTTAGATGAATGTTTATAAATTTATCAGTTATAAAACTTTAATTTCAAGCACTGTTTTCAAACAATTTTGTGTTTTTGGAGATCAATAAATTTGAGCTGATCTCAAGCAAGACAAATCTCAACAAACCAATTATATTCAGTCTATGAAAAGTTTATCTTTATGTGTAAGAGTAGTTTAAATATTATATCTTAAAGTTTACTCAAATTAGATGTTTCCAGTGTGTTGGTTGTTTTTATTCATTCAAAGCCAAATTTCCAAAGTGAATGCCAAAGCGTATTGCTTTAGATGTAGTTCTTATCAATGTCAAATCTCACAGCAGGGCTGGTTTCGCAGAACCATAAGACCAAAAATATTTTGTAGCCATAAAAGTTTGTATCCATAAAACTTTGTCACCACAAAATCATAAAACTTTGCCACCATAAAACTTTGTATCCATAAAACTTTGTCACCATAAAAGTTTGTCACCATAAAAGTTTGTATCCATAAAACATTGTATCCATAAAAGTTTGGTTCAAAACCCCACCAGCAGCTATAGCGAATCTGATGGGGCAAGGCAGAGCAGGATAGAAGCACAAAAGATAGAGGAGTCCAAAATGATAGTTCAGTAGAGGTCGACAAACAACATAAAACCTGAAAGACACAAAAGAACACATGTTAGACACTCGAGTCAACATCTGTTGATGCATTCTGTAAGTATTACAAGTCTGTTGCTCGCTCACTATTAACTGTTTAAAAACTCAAACGTGTTTTCTGCAGTCACTCTAAACGCAAGAAGGCACATAGCCTCTGTTAGCGAGTCAAATGTGTTTGAGTGAGTGACTGCCAACCAAACAGTGCACGCAGCTTCAGGCACCATGAGAAGCACACAACTCTTCTCCTGTACGTTCTCTCCCACCTTCTTAAGTTCCCTGCTTTGGTGATCAAAGATGTCAGAGAAGACCAAGCACAACCAAACCTGACACCATCAGAATAAAACAAACATGGATTGATACAGTAATCTGTTATCATGAATTTTTCACCTTATTCACCAGACTCATGTAGAAACTGTGCTTCATTTGTAAATAAACATTGCTGCAAGGCAAACAGCGATGTGAGACCAAAGTGAGGACAAAACTGATGCCAGATCACATGCAGGGGGGGGGGGGTTTGGTGTCAAGACGACAACTTTTGTCTTAATACCGGTGTGGACGATGGTTAGCTTTATGTATGAGCAAATGTTTGATGTTTATTTACAATACTGTATTGAGGTGTTTAAAGTCAGGGCTTTATTTATTTAAACCCCAAAATAGGGTCATCTCTAAAAGCCAATAAAAAGAGGATTAGCGCAGATTGCACGATACATCTGTGGTCTCAATGTTAAACAATCGACCTGAAGTCGGTCGCAAATTTAACACAATGGATCAAGGAGGCTAGGAATAAGGTGAATAGGGTCCATTTGCTGTAGCTACTTACCTTTAGTCACTGAAAAAGAACATTAATGTTACACAAACAGCTTTTCAATTTGTGCCTGATTGATGGTTTAGTTTTCTCTCACACATTTGATCCAAATCACCAAAGCAGGGCTCTTCGTGAAGGGGCAGACAGAAGATGGAAACTAGGGCTGCAGCTGTCCAATATTCTATCGATACCTCCATTGATTAATCAAATATTCTATTTGACGACATTTCAAATGAAACTGAAAATGAAATTTCACACACACACACACACACACACACACACACACACACACACACACACACACACCTATGTCACCTAATCATGTGAATCCACCATATTGATTGACAAAAGCATGTAAACAGTGACAGACACGAATACTAAACAAAGTGAAAAGTAGCGTCTGAAATGGTTTTTGTTGTTGCCGTTGTTTATTGTGATCTTTAGCTTTGCTTCAGCTAGTTAAACCTAAGTTTGGTTATCAGAAGAAGTAGCACACTTAGGTGGGGCAACAGTGAACTATGGAGAGAATTGAGAGGAAATGTAGCGACTGAGTTTGTTTTGTTGTTTTTTTTACCAGTGTTGCCTGGTTTCTACTAGATCATGCCCAGTTCATTTGTGTGAAGGTTTAGCACACTGTGGGGCTCAGAGAGAGCAGTGTTTGCAAAGTTAAGTGGTAACTAGCTGATGAACGTTAGTTTACATTCTCCCTGCTGCTGTTCACAGACGTAAACAAGTTGCTGACTTTTCCAGAATTCAGCCTGCTGGATTTATGACATCATGTGATAAACAGAGTTTCACGTTACATTACACTTTTACATCCCTACCAGCTTTTATTGCTGGCAGGGTCACTTGGTTCAGCTGCTGCTCTCACACCGGGAGGAGACAAGATACCACTTAAAGACAACGCTCATCATACTAAATAAATAACACTAGTCTAACACACATAGTACTGCATTGGAACAATGTTATTATAAATAATTATCTCACATTACACTACAGTGGACGATAACGCATGTCCTCCATGATGAAATATCCATCCATACACGACATTTGGCCCTGTCCCGGTCTTCCACATGAAATATATGAATGTTCATCTTACCCAGTAAAACCTGTTTGCTGCAAATCCAGAATACTGGAGGGCTGCTAGTCCATTTTATTAATCGCTGCAGTTCATCTCAGTCCTCAGTCTCCATCAAAGTAACAAAGAAATACGAGTTGAATTTACAACCTTGTCTATTAGTGAAGCTAGCCTCGCTGCAAATGATCACCTTTTTACTGTGAAATCAACCAAATAAAAGCGATAAAAGGCTACAAACTGTCTTATTTTCACTAACTTCATAGGAGTTCCAACATGTCTACACGTCTGCCAACCATCATGGCAAAGGGGGCGGTACCATGAGCGGCATGACGTCACATGAAAAAGGTCAATACACACACCCGCATTTTGACCTTTTGCATGTGATGTCACGCCGCTCATGGGACTGCCCTCTTAGGCACGACAGACAGCAGGAAGACTGTTCACACAAATATAATCACCTGCAAAGCGTCATAACAAGCAACTTTGTAGTCTTTCTAGCTTTTATTCTGCTGAAGTGACAGTAACCTGGTAATAGTGTGCTGCGTGGTTGGCTGCACTAACAGATTAGAGCTGAGGAAAATAATTAAATAATCGATGCATCGGGATGCGGACATAAACGATTCTGCATCGTAGAGGAGTACGCCATAATCGATTATAGTGGAATGTAGTTTTGTTTTTTTAATGGCGGCACCAGCGCAGATCCAAATCTGTCAGAGTGAGCGTCCTCCACATTTACCAAGTGGTTCCGCCTTAATGTGGTACAGTACTGCAGGGCTGAGCGCTTGAGTTGTAACCTGAGACCGAACTGGAACCGAATCAGCCCGACCGGTTCTGTTGGATTTGGGCCGTGAATTATGTTAATTGAGCGGGTTGTCGTGCGGCGCGCTCCGCTCGCTCGCACAGCAACTGAGAGGGGGGGGGGGGGGGGACTGCTCACACGAGAGGATCGGAGGACGCTCCTCCAAACCGATGCTCCAAACACGCATTATTATTTTCATAATTTAATTATTATTTCTCCTGGAAGCGCTCAGTCAGACTGCTTGTTGTAATGTAGGGAGATCCGGTCTTGGGGAGGGGGCGGGGTCAATGACGGTGGCTGCAGCGTGATCGTCTGTCTCTTTTATTTAGGGACACAGAGAAGGAGAGAAATAGAAGAAAGAAGTTCTTGTTCCACTTTATTATTTTGTTTCATGATGATAAACTGATGTTAAATTCTATTTTAAAAAACTGGGAGGAAGCTTTGGTTCATTTTAAGTTACAGGAGACTTGTCTCCTATCTGCTCCTCCAGAGACAGCATGGACATGAGGGTCACACAGGACAGGTTAGTGGAAAGGTTTTTAGTTAGCTGGTTAGTGAAGGAGATCCATAACCTGGGTAATTTAATCCTAATCCAGCCCACAGCCTTCTGCTGGTGTTATTATCAGGAAGAATAAAACACACATCTTAAATATTATTGGAAGTGTAGAATTTGTTTTGTGTTTTATTATTTTCTGCATCAAACAGAACTTGATTCATTCTCCAACATTTCAGAAACGAACCACTGGGTTCAAATAAAATAAACTAAGTCAAACATTTCATTTGGTGTTATTTCTGACACCCTTCAACTGTGGCATAAATATCTGACTCTAGAGCTGCTCAGACATTAAACACTCATATATGAACCCATTATTGTATCTGATTATTACATTATGTTGTGTCCTGTGGGTTTTCAGTACTTTTTTAGATTTTGTGAGATTTTGTAAAGCATGTTTTCTCAGCCTGAGGCGTGGTGTTGAAAGAGGAAACAGATGTTTTGCTTTGTTAAATCTTCTTAAATGTTTAAATGTTTTGTCCTAACCTGTTGTGAATGGAGAGCTTTTGAGGGCTGGCAGGTTGTATCAATTACGTTTTTGATTTTTAAAAAAAGCAATTATCTGACATGTTCTATTTATCGATGAAAACAAATCAATATGAAATAATCGTGATGCATCGTGATGCATCGGGATATCGAATCGAATTGAATCGTTGACCCAATAATCGTAATCGAATCGGGAGACAAGTGAAGATTCACACCTCTATAACAGACACAGGTCTAGATTCAACTAGTCTGGTTTTGATGCCTTTGATAGAGACCGAGGACACGAATAAATCACAGCAGCCAATCAGACTAGCAGTCGTCAAAGTATTATTGGATTTACAGAGAGCACCTTTGGCTAACATTCAAATATGTAATGAGAAAGACAGTGACTGGCTAAGATGGACCTGAAATGATAAATGCCATGTTTACATATCTTTTTAGTATTGATACTCCGGTATTTCACTTTGAAGGATATACATTACCATTCACTATAGTGAATTACTATATGCCAGTAATATAGTTCCAATAAATGATTACGTGTGAAAATGACATCATTTATTTTGCATGATGAGCTTCAGCGTCTTGCCCCAGTGTGAAAGTAGCATCTAAACCCGATGACCCAGCCAGTGAAAACAAAAACAAATGGTAGGGATCCAGACTTTTAAAGTTGTTTTTAATCATCTCTGGTGTAAGGTGAACCCTGGTTGTCCCCTAATGTTAGAAATCCAGCAGGGTGCATTCTGGCAAACTGGGCAATTTGTTTACATTGGTGTCCAACAGCAGGGAGAACGTGAGCTAATGTTCTTAAGCTAGTTAACACTTAACTATTGTGAACACTAGTACTAAACCTTCCCACAAGTGAACTGGGCTAGAACAAGTAGAAGCCAGACTAAACTGGTAAAGAAAACAACTTCAGTCGTCACTTTGCCCATCGTTCAGTACTTTCATAATTCACTGTTACCCTCTGCTATGATGGACCTATGAGATCAGGTGACATAAATTCAAAGGGTCAATGTGTGTGTGTGTGTGTGTGTGTGTGTGTGTGTGTGTACATATTCAAAATCTAGAGCTGCTACTACTCTGAAGCTATGGAAGCTGATGAAATATGGTTAATAATAACAACAGCTAAGAAATCATTTGGTTAAACACAAACATCAATCTGGTCGGCCCGCCCACATGCAGCCAGGTTTTCTTCACACAGCCTTCTCAGGAACATGGGATCCTTCAAGCATGTAGCATAGTGTCCTCCTTAAAGGGATATTCCACCCAAAATTTTAATTTGTCTATTGACATATTTCTCAGATTTTTTTGTTTAATATTTCAATAAGTAGGAAAAAATCAATTTGTAACCAGCCCAGTCATGCTCCCAACCCGGCTGTACTCCTTTAGCTTAGCATAAAACACAGTAAGTGAATGGATCCAACTAGCATTGTGAGTAAAACATCCTTAAAATTACTATTTAGCTATCCCAATTCTGCTTGGTGACCTAAACAATCAGACTGACTGCAAGTAATTAGTAACATAAATGAATAACTGGCGTCATTTTAGACTTGGGCCTACTTTATCACAAAGCTCAGCTGTAAGCCTCCGCTTACTTAAAATTTCATAATTCATCTTCAAACCATAGCCATTTGTCCATCTCCAGGTTAAAACTCTGCTCTAAATTGATTCTGAATCTGCCACAGCTGATGGCTAAAAGGCATAGGCGTCATTTTAACCGGGGACGCCGGGGACATGTCCCCGGCAAAATTTGTGATTGGCAGCTGTGTCCCCCCCCACTTTCAAAAACGCCTGCTGATGAGGATTTTTGTTTTACCAGCTCAGATCTTATCCAGGGGTCGGCAACCTGTTCCCATCAAAGAACCATTATTACCCGTTTCCCACGGTAATTTTGGACAGACCTTAATAAGCAGTGACTTAAGTGAAGCAGGCAGGTCGCGCTAGAAAATTTCGTTTAAAAAGATGTCATAAATGTGTTCCCCCGTCATTTTTATTACTAAAATATGAAGTAAAAACTCACAATTTAATTTTCATTCATTTGTCATTAATATGTAGTCTACACCCGTGCGTTAAGTGGACCATCTTCCAGTAAACACACAGCATCCAGTCCACCTCTCCAAATGCGTAAAATGTGCATCAGCCGCTAGTTAGGCGCGTGCGCACCATCAGCTGATCAGCCCAGACAAGAGCAGAGCAACTAGAGAAAGAATAGAGGATAATTGTGTCTGGATGTGGATGGAGATTACATTTTACAGCAGCCTGATCATCATTTAAATACGTAAACCATCACCTGTCTTCTAGTCCACGCTATCAACATTATTTTATATTTTAATTGGTGTGTGTGTGTTTTCCACTTCAAACACTGGTCTAACCAACCAGACCAGCGTGTCCAGTAACATATTAATGTTACAATTAAACAGTTTCACTTCATGTAGGCTAGGAACGTTTCATCTGCCGTGGCCCGACCGCTTCTGCTCCACATAAACTTTGTGCGTGATCAAATGTCTCTACGCTTCAAGCGGAACTAGACGGGAAAAAGCGCTGTTCAGCCAAAGTTTCATAATTTCATAAAAAGAACATTTTCCAAGTGACACATCCCTCAGAGAGACCGGGTTTCCAGAACGCTTCAGTGGGAGGAAATCATCGCATGCGCGTGGTTCTGCACTGCGCTGGAACCTCAGATCTTCAGCTCACTGTCCACCGGGGGCGCTCCGAGCCGCGCTGAACACAGTGTCCAGTATAAAGAGCTCTGATGTTCTGATGGGAATATTTTACCTCCGCGTGTGCGTTAACGATTAAAATGTCAGCTCATCCATGAGCATCCGTGTGCGTCGGGGTAATTTTTTCAAACCAAGCAACATCCTTGAGTTCATCTGTCAAAATAAACAGTCAAATGGAAATATCTGAAACCTGCCGTTTAACTGTTTTGCCTTCCTGTGAAGATTGTTGCAAAGAGAAACAATTAAACTTGATTAACCCTAGAGCCACGCAGAGAACCATGCAGTGCGCATGCGGGAAGATTCCTCCCACTGAAGCGAGTGTTTTCCAAACCCTGTCTCTCAGAAAGACTTGTCACTTAGAAAATGTTCCCTGATTATGAAACTTTGGCTGAATAGTGCTTGTTCCTGGCTCCAATGTGGCGACACATCCAGGAGCCGTCTGAGGAGAAGCAGAGAATCTCACATCCTCTTCAGCTCATAAAGTGCCCATATGATTACGCACAAGCGTGACCGGTCAACCACCGCAGACCGGGTTGGACCTGTTCAGGTTTACGCAGACAATCTACATTTAGAATTGGCATACAGGTGTAAAATTAATGCAGTAAAATATAAAGCATTTTATTTAAATATCCATTTATTATTTTACAAGCACAGAGAGTTGCATCAGATGGATGGAAGAGCCACATGCGGCTCCAGAGCTGCGGATTGCCGACCCCTGTGCTAGCCTACTTTATTGTCCCCAGCAATTTTTAAACCCCACTCAAGTGTATGGTTATTGTCCCCAGCAATTCTGAAAACAAACTGACGCCCTTGCTAAAAGGTACAAGGTGACGTTAAATGACAGAACTGCACTGGACTCCAGCTGAGTCATGACCACACCTCCACTCAGCATTCATTCAATTAAGTTTATTTACATAGTGGCAACTCACGACAAGAGTCATCTCACAGGTCGATATGAAAACGTTACAGCTCTGAGCCGCTTGCCTCCATAAAGGAAACATTCTCCTCCCTTTCTTCTAGTGATCTAGGTGGAGTGGAAACCCTCCAGCCTGCTGCAGTTTCTATGTTTGCTCATTCTACTGAGCAGTGAGTCTGTTATGTATGTGGGTGCATGTGCAAGTCTGCACAACTAATTTTTCTGAGAAACTCTGATAGAGTTCATTCAGGCCCATTGAAAAATCACGATATCAGACTCGATTTCTAATCACATGATCAGATCGGAGCATCTCTAGATACACTTAAGCACCTCTACCTGCTCTTGACTGAAAGAAAAGCCCAAGTCAAAGACGTTTGGTCCTAGAAAATGGCGACCAATGTTTAGCGCTTTCTTGTTTTCTCTGGCAATGCAGGTTCCACATCTGCCAGACTTGGCCTGGGAATGATGGCCAATGGGAGGGGCAAGAGTGACCATGTTTGTGTTACCTTGTTTTGCACATCTGCTATCGGTGTCTCCCTGATTGCCTGTTGCCACATCAGCAGACACTCTTCAGACAACAGCTGTTTTTAACCTCTGTAGAAAACCTGGAAAAACCTCCATCATACATTTAACATGTTTTACTCACCAGTCACCACAGGATACACAGGAAATATTCTGAGAACAGAAACCCAACAATTAGTAGTCTGGAAAGTTCTGGTTTCTACATATAAACACCAACCAGTCCATCACTGAGACAGAGACAGACAGATGTGTGAGTCTGCATTTATTTTCTATGCAATAAAATTAAATGAAGACAGCTCCAAGTTTCACACAGGTAACATGTTTTACTCACCTGTAAGCACAGAAGAAGGAATCACGTTCTTTCTGAGGAACAGAGAAAATAATGAGTCTCCAGTATAATTCTGTCTTCAACATATAAAATGTGCTTTACTTCCAAATGTAAATTATCACCTAGAGATCAAACAGACATTAAACGTTTCTTAAACAGTAAACATTTCATTTGAACAATGAATTAAACTCAGTGCACTGATGAGTAGATTCAATTTAATCACATCTGATCAACATGGCTGGAGTTATTGAATCTGCAACCACCCAATTACTGATGAGACAATAAACTCAAGGCTACATTAAGGCCACGAAGAATAAACGTGATGGATTTTCCCCCTTCAGCCTCCAGGTGTGCTTAACTTACCTGCTGATGCACCAAACCACGCTCAAAGCTCTCAGTCTAAAAAAGAAAACAAAAACATATCATGTTACATAAGATTTTATATTGTTGGATTTTACCACTAGATATTCTGTTATCTGCTCAGCGCTGTTTGACCTGTACATTATCTGTTAATCTATAAAAGCCAGACAAAGAAAAAACTGTTTTAATTATAACATTTTAACAATAAAACATTTGTGCTCGAACTGGGAGGAGACCAAAGGGAAGACCTAGGATACGCTGGAGGGACTCGTTTGGCCAGGGGACACCTTGGGATTCTCCTGGAGGAGCTGGCCCAAGTAGCGAGAAGGCCCTGGCTGCAGCACGAAGAAAGAGGCATTGTAGGGCTACCAGTCAGACTCATTCCATATTTGGAAAATGCAACACTTACGTTCTGGAACTGAAGGGGGAGCTATAACTAATATCACATAAAACGCAAGACTGTGGACAGAGGTTCATTGATTGAACAGTTTTTGTAAATGTTCAGATCATTAAAAAAATCTACTTTTTGGAACATTGTACCATGTGATATTGTAATTTCTTCATAAGAAATACCCCAAACCCTTTTTTGCCTGGGTTAAGGTTAGATTCTGCAGTGATATACTACTGCATTCATCTTGTGTTGGATCATTGAGGAAGCCAGTGTCGGTACAGGATCAGCTCGGGGTCCTTCGACTGCCGATGACTTCACATGACTGCAACTCTACTCGGCTTTCACACATACGTTTTGGAAAGACGTCAGCAGTGTTGTTAATAAATTCTTGTTTGTTAACACCTAAATGTTTTCTTTATAATTGTAATTTGTTAATAAAACACCATATTATCTGTTTTGTAAAGAATGTGAAACTGCATAAAACCAACATCGGACTGACAAACAATAGGACAGTTCTTATATGTGAAGCCATATCTGTTTGTATTAATGTGGAGTTCGTCTGTATATTTCCTTAGTTGTTATCTAAATACATTCTTTGACTCTAAATGTTGCTTGGTGTCTTTCAATAAAGTTATTATATTTTATTTTGCCCCATTTCATCAACTTCAAGAGATTTTGAGGGTCACCATTTATCAATTGCTTATATTTTACATTTCCTTTAGAAATTCAAACATATTTTCTCCAAAACGTGTTGATTTTTGGACTACAGGACTACAACCGCTAAGACTATATCATCATAACGTGATTACGTCACTTCCGTAAGCTTCATGTTCAGCCAATCAACCACGTTGACGTCATCGGCAGTCGAAGGACTCCGAGCCGATCCTGTACCCGAGCAGATCCCGTACCGAAACCCGCACACCGCTCCGCTAAAGATAGGATCGGGTTATAATTTTGCCGAGAGCCACTTCTGCGACACGTTGATTTCCGCAGTTAACATAGGGCTAGACAGGAAATCACACACGGTTTTAATGTAAAAGCACTGGTAATTTTCTAAATAAAAGTACTGCAGCGATGTAATGTCAAATATGAACCTTACAGTCGCTGCTTAAAATGAGCTGATTTTACTCATTTGGGGGTTTCCTCATTAATCTATGCGTGTTTCTACACTTTACAGAAAGAAAGAAATAATATTTTAGTGTAGCAGAATCGACGGTTTTCTGTCTGAATCCAACACTAGCATTAGCTGTTGGAGCCGTTAGTAGCTTTTGGGCTGAACCGACTACACATTTAACTTCAAACAGAAAAAACTAGAATGTTAAAAACATCTGACACCATTTCTCATTAAGCGAAACAACTTTTGATTAAGTTTAAACAGCACACATGAAGTTAGCTGCGTTAAACTACAAGGGAAGCTAACGGTTGATCCAGCTGCAGATCTAAATACCTTTTATTCAAACAAAAATCTATTAAACGTATTCTGCCATGATATAAATCGTGTCTCTTGTCACATTACCAACAGAGGAAAAACACCAAACCTTCCACAGGTGGATACACCGGATAAACAGAAGAAGAAAAGCAGATTTATGACTTACCTTCACGGAGAACAAACTGAAACAGTTAAGAGGCGTTCAGGGTCCTGTAGGAAATCCCGCGATTATAAAAATCTGCTTTGAAAAGCAGTTAAATGTAAAAACGAGTTTATTCAGTACATATTTCCGACACAAGTATTTATATATATATATATATATATATATATATATATATATATATATATATATATATATATATATATATATACATATAAAGATTAAGATTTGTATCAAACAATAAAAGTTATTAAAAGTTAAAGGCATTATGAAATCATAAGTTTTCCTTCGAGGAATGATTTTGTCACCATGACAACAGCTCGAGCCGGGCAGTTGCTGCTTCAAGAGGACTGTGAGCCAGCCGTGACCCAGTCAATCTCCAGCAGCAGGACAATCAAGAGGTACGTGAGACTTAATTCCTAGATCTTCATTCCACATAAATGATCAAATGCTTCGCCATTTCACCTTACTGACTGTCCGAGAGCATAGTTTCTAATCACGAACCACTTTTTTTAAGTTCGTCATAATTCTTGTTGAAGAACCTTCAACATGAATTATGACGAACTTAACTTCAATGAAGATCGTAATTATCTTGTCTTAATCCACCTGAAAAACTAGTATGTTTTAAATATGCCTAAACAATCGAGACTGAAACTTTTAAAACGTTTTTTTTCTACCCTGGGAAGGAGTGACAGGCAAAATTACAGGTAAGCCATCTACTGCCACAATTTCGACCAGTCAAAGTCACAACAAGTAAATAAATAACATACAGCTCTGGGTGATTTTTTTTAGCTTAAATATAAATCCAACATTTTAGTAATGCTCTGATTAGTCTCCCAATAGTTTAAAACCCACAGGGTGTCACTGCAGATTTTGGCAATGCCAGCTTGTCACGCAACGGTGTTAGGTAGGATTAGCACGGACTCTCCGCAACGTCAACGGTTACGTAGATGCTCTCGTTTCTACGGGGTTTCCTACAAGCACCTGCTCATTACAGAGGTCTTCCCCCATAACCGGGAGCAAAGATCCCGCCTTTCTCGCTTCTGATTGGCTAGGAGGGCTCTTCTGTGATTGGCTATTTCTTTTAGCAGCAGCCCTTTTCCCTCTGCTGTGCTCTTGCCACCAACCGCTGTTTTAGTGATTTTTGTGAAGAAAGCACTATGATGACAATCCGATCCTGTTAGGCAACATATATTGATTTACTTTCTTTTATAAACTGAAAAATATAATTGATCTTTAAACACATCTTGCTGCATTTATCACTGTTGGCTCTCAAGAATTGGGATCATATTGAAGCATTGTACATAGGCTAAACATGTCAGCTTCACGTGCATGCAACATGTATGAACAATAATACAACTGAACTATTTTATTAGTAACGAAATATGTAATGAGGTAATGTTCAGTGATGGTTTGTTATTTTTTTTTAATTTCAGAATGGAACTCAACAAAATCCTTAACACAAAGCCTTCTTCCCCATACTGGACTCCTCCACCATTACACGTCCATGTACTGGCTGAGAGGGAAAGTGCCCGTGTAGTTTCCTGGGAGTTTGGAATAGATTCGGCTGAGGCCAAAATAACAAAAATTAACAAAGTGGTGGCCATCACAGATGGCCACACAGTGTCTAAAGTGACATTATTTGAGGAATTGCGACACAAATTGGAAGAAAAAAAAAACTACATAATTAAAAATTATTATTTAAAAGGAGACACCCCACCACTACACATTATGGTCAGTAAAAAAACTAACTTCTTTAAAAGCTCCCCAGTGGAGCTCACATGCGAGGGCCTGCCGGAGGCAGCAAAGGCTCTACTCTTTCCATCTTCCAAGGTGGTGAAACTGATGGAATGGAAAGGTGTTGGTGGCCTCCTGACTGTTGAAGGTCAGGTTGTACAAGTAAGTTTTTTATTATTTCTCATGCAAACAGTAGACCATTTCCTGGAAGTTTAATACCATGTACATCTTTGGGGTGGGGGATTACACACATAAAGATTTACAAATAGTAAATATCTTTAAATTGTTGCTTTGTTTCTCTAATAATAATGGTGGATGAAAGGACTGAGACACCTGTCCTCAAGCTGTATGTTGTGTGGTTATCAATCTTGGGAAAGAAAACTCAGAAGCAGTTCTTTGGATGTAGGTGGCTTTGATGTCAGCGGTGCCTCAAACACACCTTTAATACAGCAGCAGGAGGCAAAATCATTAATGCATCTCCAGTACAGTAACATTACAGCTCCCAACATGCAGGCTACTAGTCTCAACTGAGAGATGAGAGAGCTGCGCACATTTAAAATGCTGGTAATCCTAAGGTATCAACAGAAACATTGCACGCTAACATAAAAATAGCACAATTATGAAACATAAAAAAACAAACCTGCACCAAATGTCACACAATCCAACTATTGTGCACAAATAAACTGAAATAACCCAAAACAAACCTTCAAAACAGCAGGAGGCAAAAATCAGCAACTAATCTCCAGTATAGCAACATTATAGCTCCTGCCATTTACCATTTAATCTCATTGTGTAGATCTCCAATGTGAAGAAGATACGGAGTGGCGGTGGAGACGTTCCTCTGCGTCAGATCACTTTGAAGCAGGTAAAAGTACTGGAAATACAAATAAAAAGCTAAATCTCCTAATTATTAATATCACAAAATCTGTTTGCATCTTCTTCTGGTCTATAAGTAAGTCCTTAAACAGCATGTTTTGACTTTCAGGGTGACGTTCAGGCTCATGTCTCTCTGTGGAGGGAGGCAACATTAGAAACACCTGAACTGGGGGCCAGCATACAGATTTCTCACGTGAGAGGATCCAAGGGCCAGCTGCAGTCAACTGGACACACAAAGATTGAGGTGTGTGTAATATACATATACATATACATACATACACACACACACACATATATATATATATATATATATATATATATATATATATATATATATATATATATATTCCAGGGTTTCCCCCAGAAAACCTGATGAAGCTGGCTGGGCGGCTTGTGAGAGCAGCGGGGGGATGTGCGGACAGATTGTTCCGTCCCTTGTCCGTGGAGGGTGTTCTGCGCAGTGTTTTAGCTGTTTATTTTTTCTGCACTATCAGTAAAAAGTTTCCTATATAAGGAACCCAGCAGGTTGCATCAAGTCACTGACTAGTGTCAGAGTCTTTACAGCAATCCTCATACTAAGCAAGTGTAACCCCTTCTGTCTATCTCCACCACTGTAAGAGTGAAACTCTCTGGACTCAAGATGGGTAGAGCTTAGGATTGGTTTATCCCCTCTGCAGGCTTCTACAATTACATGGGAAAACCATGGGGTTCCAGCAACAGGATTCCACCCAAAACGTAGCAAAAGCCACCTCGTATTATTAATTTTTCTTAAAATTAATCAAATTACAAATTGGATGGAAAACAAGATAAAACTTATTACAAAAAAATAAGATGTCACTGCATTGTGATTCAGGTAAACAAAATAAATAATTCACTTAAATGCAAAATGCACATTCATATTCACCTTCAAATAAATTAAAATAAGTTTCTTTCATGTGCCAAAATAAATGGAAAAAATTCTACCACCTGCTGGACACAACTAAATAAGCACAATGTTTTAAACAGAATTAGCCAGGAGCTCAAACAAATACAGTTCACAGAAAACATACCTGCAATTACATAGGATATGCAAAACCATGGGTTTCCAGCAGCAGGATTCCGCCCAAAACTAAAAAGAAAAGTTTAAAATAATGATGAGACATGAGGCTCTCCCCTCGCTTTTAGCAGCTAGTACAGCACGTGCATTTTTCTACCTTCTAACCAAAGTCACAAAAACCGAAATGTAACTGGACACAATTGTATAGGTGATTCATGGCATTAATGGACAGTTTTGTTAAGCTTAACAGACATCTTTAAATACCTTTTTTACCCATTTTCAGTCTGGGCGGACTGATGGAGTACTTACCACAGCAAAAGCCACCTCGCTACTAACGGAATACCCGGAAAACAGAACGTTCATCTGTAGCGGACTTCTGCTGTGGATTTTCAAAATAAAGATCTAAAAATCGAATCTAACAAAATAAAACAAACCCCATGGTTGCAATAGCAGGTTTAACAAGAATTTAACAATAACAAAACCATGCTAATTATTTACACCGTTACACAAGCATGTAGCGACAGTGGAGAGGAAAACTCCCTTTTAACAGGAAGAAACCTCCAGAGGATCCTGGCTCAGTATAAGCAGCCATCCTCCACGACTCACTGGGGATCGAGAAGACAGAGCAGACACACGCACACACACACACACACACACACACAGGCATTCATGTATGCACGCCAGCACACACACACACACAGGCATTCGTGTGTGTGACAGGCATTCGTGTATGCACGCCAGCACACACACACACACACGCACATAGGCTACATGCACTCAACATATTAACCACGTGTTATTCTATGACTGCATACATTGTGATTTCTTAGTAGAGATTATATTTCTTCAAAAAAAACTTTATTGACTTTATCTGAGTGAATGTATACTTAAAGCTTTTTCCCAGTATTTCTCTTATCTGATGGCAACATCTAGTGGCTGACAAGCATATCACACAAAAAGTCTGTTGCTCTGTTTTTTTAAGATGGCGACTTCACGTTTCTAGCCGAAAAACCGCTAAAACACATTGTTTTACGAGTATTGTGCTCATGTCATGTTGTGTTCTCATTTATTTATATTTTAGAGACTTACTTGTCTGTGAAAAGTTCATCCACTCTGCTTTAGCCGACGTATTACTTAAATTTGAAGCAAGTAAGCGGTAATCTAATGTTATTGGTTAGTTCTGGTCGACACTCAGTGTCCTATTGCACGGAGCTCTGTGGGGCAGGGTGTGTGTGTAGACAAAACAAAACAAAAAAGACGTATTGCTTACATTATATCACATTACATGAAAAGATAATCACTTTTATGGATTTCTGACAAATAATTCATTATTTTTGAAAGGGGAAAACTCCAGAAAGCTGCT